GGGGGGGTGGGACCAACAGAGGAGCGAAGGACCAGGGGGGCTGCATCGGGTCAGGCCTCCTGCCACAAATGCACCACGCTGGTCGCCTTCCCAGAAGTCTAGAAAGCAGCCCGAGACTCCTGGAAGTCAGCCCACTTTCCCATCCCTCCACCCCCACACAGATTAAGGCCGGGGCAAGGATACTTACTGGTGTGAGCAGCTCCGGGGTAGAGATGGGGGAACAATCACCGTTTAATTTAATACCACTTCCCAGATCAAAATCACAGATCTTCACTGGGGAAACCTTGGGCAGGAGGAAGAAGCACAGGAGCCTATTATCAAAGAGAACTGGAAGGTGTCGGTGGAGTCCACAGTGCTAAAAAAGGGACCCGCTGGATCCAGGCTGTGGACCAGGAGACCTGCCGAGTTACACAAGTCTGGAGCTCATGTGCCTGGTCCCAGCCATGCCCCCCTCCCCCATGAAATCCCATCCTAACTAATTAAGACCTAGAGTTAAGAGGTTAAATCTACTGCCCCGTAAAGCATTGTGATCTCCCCAACTCCCGATTCCATCCCCCTTCCCACCCCCTGCGTGGTGAAGGTAGACCTGGGCTCTCTGCAGGCCTCAAGCTACGTCTTGCCAGGGGAAGAGCAGGCAGCCAACCACCCCAACCCCCTCCACAATCTCCCTGACTGTCCCAGCTCCGGCCAGGCCCAGACCAAAAAGGATCCGGCCACGGTCTCCACCTGTGCCCAGGTGCCCATGCCTGCCACTCACCTGATTGGGACTCTCACAGAGAATGTTTTCAGGTTTCAAATCCCTGTGCGCTATCCCTGTTACAAATGAGAAATCCCAGGTCAGCAGGGGCAGCAGCTTCCCAGGGCCCCCCAAAAGCATCAGTAACAGGAAGCTGCAACCATGATCACTGCTCTGGGGCTCACCAGGAGGTACAACAGCGACTGGTGTGGGGGGCTGAGCCCCCTCGGTGCTCCAAGCAGCTGGCACAGCTCAACGCCTCGTCTCTTCAGGGCCTGAAGCACAGGCCTGATGCTGGACCAAGTCCCCACCCCACTCCATGCTCTGATAAAACCCATGCTTTAATGGCTACGGGGCAGAGGCACATAGGATCTCACAGGCCAGATGAGAGCACTGGCGTCCGGCTCAAGAATAAGTGTCCCTCTAGCCCTGGTCTCCCCCCGCCGCTGCCTATTCCCAGAGGGCAGGTCCCAGAGCGCGGCTCGTGTGCTGCCTACCTTTGTTGTGCAAGAAGTTAAGGGCACTGGCTATGTCCTGCACCACCACGCTGGCCTCCAGCTCATTGAAGTGGCGCCTCCTGTGGATGTGGGTCAGGATGGAGCCTGCGGCACATACCACAGAGTCAGCCACAACAAATCTGCACCTTTCCATACCGGTCTCCCACCACCGCCCCACAGCAGAGACGGATGCTGCCGCCTGTCGCCTGGGCTCTGGTTCCAGAGCCCATCCCCATAACACCCATCAGAGCCGAGATCAGGGGCTCTGCACGCCAAGGGCCTCAGCCCTGGTAGACGGCAGGTGGCACAAGCTTGGAGGGCTTCATATGCCAGCAATGGCTACAAGGGACCTATGCCTGGGCAGCAGTGCATCAGTAGCTACCTACCACCATCCCCCCAGCAGAGGTGAATGGTGTTATAGGAGCGAAGGCAAACCCTGCTGGGACATTTACCTCCTCGCATCTTCTCAAACACCAGGTAGAATTTGTCTTCCTCTTCAAAGAACTCTATCAGCTCCAAGACGTTTCTGGAAAAGCGGCAAGGGGACGATCAAACCACCTGTCTACGCCAACAAGCTTCCCACCCTTTGCTTCCCAGCCACTGACAGGGGCCTGCTGTATCACCAACTCTCTCACTAAAGCCGATTTCCCAGGGGACAGCTGCCCAGGCATGTATACACGGGATGCGTGCCAAAAGGACACTGGGTTTCAGTTACTGGAACCAGAAGACTTGGACCCACAGCTGGGCGGGGAGCATTTTCCCAGTGCCCTGGTAGATGGCTTATCTCTACCGCAGCCCTAATTGCTAGCAGACTCTTCCCTTGGCCAACAGGCTGCTCTCGAGAAATGGCACCGCTCAGCATTTTCCTAGGAAGGATGGTTAACATGGAGCCACGGGCCACTCTCCCCATTCTGCAGCAGTTAAACCAAACTGTCCACAAAGCGTATCCACTTCCCCAAAGACCGCATGCCCCGGAATTGGGAGCCCTTCAAACTCATCTTGAGAAACGGCTCCCAGCCTAATGTCATTCAGCTGCTCCCCTACAGCCAAGCCAGCTGCAGCAAGACTGATCCCTGCACCCATAGGAAGAGTTTGAAGGAGCCCGGGAGCGCTCTCCAAGAGCCCTCAATGGCATGGCTGGAGGCAACCTGATCCTCCAGAGAATGGGCAAGTACATGGAGGATCTCAGCTAGCTGGTGAAGAAGGCTTCCCCCTGCTCCAGGAACAGCAAGCCCTAGGGGTCCCCAGCCCAGCACAAGCGCAGCAGCCCCAGCACACCTGTGTCCTTGGCACTGATACAGCATCTCCACCTCCCGAAACACACGGCTCCGGATGTGTCCAAGGCGCTTCTCAATGATCTGAAACAGAAATGAAGAGAAAGGCTGAAATGGGGCCCTTTGCACTGCATGGGGGAGCCAGGCTCAGACCAGCCCAGCAGACCTGGCAGAGAGGGGGAAGCCAGGGGGTCCCAGGGGAACCGCACCAAGCCTCAGGCCCTGAGCTCCTTGCCTGCAGCACTCTCCCTTCGCAGGCGGTACAATGCTGGACCACTTTGACAAGAGCCTCTTGCCAGTTGCCAGGCCACGTGGCATCCCCCTCCACACAACTTGGCAGCACATCACTGGAGCAAGCTGCCCTCCCTAGTGCTAGATGGGGTGCGAGGTGATGGCTGCATGAAGGGGTTAACCAGCTGCAGGGGAGGCTCCTTTCCTTCCAGCCTAGGTCCATCCCACCCCTCAGGGAGCTAACAGCCCTGGGCATGCCAGCTTCTCCTCCCCACCCTCCAGCACAGGGGAGGAGCTACCCTCCTTCCAGGGAGAGGCAAACAAAGACTCACATGGGCAAAGCACACTTCAAAGACCAGGCCTGGAAGCCAGGCTGCAGAGATAAGGACCCTTCCCTCCTCTTGCTCTGCCAGGGCCTCCTTTGGCAGGCAGGCACAAGATTATCCCGGCCGGAGCCAGCACGAGCCAAGCCGGACTAAATGCAAAGCGGCCGGTGGGTGCAGGGAAGGGCTCTGGATTTTACAACAGCAGGACAGAGGTTGCAATCCAGCTTCCTGCAGAGCCGTTCCAGTGGAGGGAGCTCTACGTGAAGCCTGCGTAAACCCTCCATTCAAGGACGGGGGGTGACATGTAGGGGCTGGGGGAGGACTCCCCGTTTCTTATCAGCGACTGGTTTGTTCTGTGACCTCCAGCAAGTCCCTTCCCGCAGCGTCTCCATGTCCCCACCTGCTTCCCAGCCCCCAGGACCGAAGACGTTTCGGGTTTGCAGGAGGACTCGAGAGCCTCAGCTGCAGGCTGGACAGGAGGTCCAGGCATTGCTCCGCTCCAGCAGAGCTGCTCCCTGGGAAGGCTCAGGATGCAGGAGCCCGAGCTAGAAGGGTGCGGCTTTTGCAGGGCAAAAAAAAAAAAAGCTGCAGGGGGAAGTGTAGATTCCTGGCTCCGTGACTACAGCCCTCAGCGCTCTATGGCATGAGAAGCTCCCAAGCCGCTGGAGAAGGGCTGCATTGTTTCCTCTCCAAGCCGCTTGGCTTGAGGCTTCCAGTCAAAGCAAGGACGTCCCCAAGAGACTGCCGCTCGCCAACAGCCACAGCTGCTCTCCTCCAAAACAGAACGCACTTCCCCCTCTCGGGAGGTCACGGCCCTGCCCCCCCCCACGCGCCCAGCCAAGTCCCGTCCCTTCCACCCAGATGCCAGCGCACTGCAGCCCCACACCGGGAGGCCAATAGGAGCCGGGTACCAAGCGCACCAGCCAGCCCCTTTCTGCTTGCTGCTGCTCCAGTTACACAGAACAGGAGTTGCTTTTGTCTGGGGCAGTGCCAGCTCTGCTCAGCGCCCCGGTGAAGCATTTCACTTGCTCCTCTGCACTACTCCGTGGGAGTACTGCGAGCACTGGAAGCAAGCTGGGAGCCCGCAAGTGCTGGGTCAGCATGAGCCCCAATATCCTTACTCTCTAATCTAGCGGGATGATTTTTAAAGCTCAAACCCCACGTTGCGCGGTGTCTCCCAATCCCAGACACTGCAGCGTCAGCGGTTTCCAGCTTGCCGAGACCTGTTCTGGTTCCCAGCTCCTTGCCCAGATCCTGCACCCTTGTGTCAAGACGCCCAAAGCAAGCAGTCTGGTGCGTCTCATGCTATCACCTCTGCTTCTATGTCCAGCCTTTCTGGAAATCCCAACACGCTTTACAGACACTACATTAGCCTGCCTAACTCCCTTAACCAGGTAGGTCTCAGCCCCCCACTTTGCAGAAAAGGCAAATGAAGTGGCTGGACCAAGGCCACACAGTGAGTCTGTAGCAGAGCCAAGGCTAGACAGTCTCATGGCTCCTAACTCTTGCACTGCAGCTGGGGGGTTTCTCGTCCCTCCCCTGCAGGCTGGGAAATCTCATGGAAGACAGCTGCACTGACCCCTGTCCCGCCCCCACCTGCAACATTAGAGTTTCATCATCTCTCCTACTAAGCTGCAGTGGTTCTGAATCCAGCTCTCCCCACCATGAGCCTCTCTTTGGGATCGTGCCAAGATCAGGCCAGGTGCCCCTTCTGCACACAGGCTGGCTTTGTGGATGTCACAGGAGGTACAACCCTGAGCCATGTACACAGACCAGTCACTCATCCTGGGAGTCCTTTCCAAGTATCATCAGGATCTCCCCTTGGTGCAAATGATACTCTCAGCCAAGCTGTTCCTACAGGGCGCTCGCCACTCAAGCACAGCCAGCTCTCCCCTTGACCCACAGCACTGCAGCCTGTTTTACCAGGGCCAGTCCCAGCACTGAGTCGCACTTGCCTGGCTCAGACTTCTCCATCACTGGTGTCCCCATTAAGAAGGAAGGGCACAACAGCTGAATTACACAGGAGTTTGGTGCCCAGGACTGGCCCTTACCAGCAGCCCCGAGTTTGGAGACTACCAGCCCTACAGAGACGTACCTACCTCCTACTCTAGGGGTATTGCTGCCATTCCTGTGCCATTACTTGTATTACAGCTATCGACTGCTCAGGTCTCCACTGTGCCAGGTGCTGTATGGACACAGACACCCCTTTGCAGGTGTCTAAATAGGCAAGACAGGTAAGGGACAGTGGAAACTTGAGGCGCAAAGACGACAGGGGAAGCTATAGGACAAATGTCACTGATAAGGCTAGAACTTCAGTCCCCAAGTCCTAGTTCAGACTCACACCCTGAACCCCAAGGCCTCTCCAAGCCCTTACCTTCACTGCATACTCCTTGTTGGTGATGAGATTAACGCAGGACTGGACTCTAGCGTGGGCTCCTTCCCCGAGCACCTCATCCTGCAGCTGGTAAACATCTGTGGGGGGGGGAGAAAGGCTCTCATTCCTGTACAAATTCTGGGAAAGACCTGCACGAGCTGCATCTAGCCCAGTGCTCAGTGCATACACCCTGACACAGGATTACAACAGCCCCCCCTGAACCCAGCTGTTGTTGAATGCATCTCTCTGCCCCTCAACAGCTTCTCCAAGTTCAAAACCCCCAAGCCTGGAGCAACATCTGCAAGAGCAGCCCAGCCCCAGGGCCCCCCACACCGCTCACCTTCAAACCGCCCTGAGAAGCTGTCTGTAGCTCTGCACCGTTTCTTCTTCTTGTTCCTCTTCTTGGCGTCGGGGATATCGATGGGTTGACTTGAAGGCATGTCTGTCCCAGACCAAAGCCATCCAGACAGCATTAACACCATGCAAGTGGTTGCACAGCCCAACAACTCCCCTCTGCATTCACCTCTCGCTTGGGAATATGAGAACAGATGGCACTTCATGCCACATAAAATACTGACCCAGCTCCCAGGAGCCTTGAGTGAGTGGCAAACAAGACACCAGCTTAATGAACGGTGAGGAGAGAGGCTGGGTCAGACACTTCTGGACCCAACGGGGCTTTTTGGAAGGGGTTAGACAGGAAGCAAGGTCCTGATGAATCGCAAGGTGGCACCCAAGCTTGCCGCACATCCTGGGATTTATATGCATCTTTGACATGTGTCCAAGTGAGTGCCCGGGCCCCTGGACTTCAGGGACATCAAGGATGCCACACACCTGAGGTCTGGCCCATGCTCAAGTACCTTCCTCAATGAGCACCATAGCAGATGGTATTTGTACCTCCACCAGGAGCTGCCGCCACACTGGTATTGGACAGTTGTTTTGAAGAGGGAGGAGGAAAGGACCATGAGCGGAAACCCAATGGAGGGTGGAAGGGAGGCAGAGCTAACAACATGCCGACCTCTACCCCCTGCCCCCACTGGGATTAAAGCAAGGCCCTGTCTGTATTGCTGCTCACCGGGGCGGGCTGGGCACTCGAAGTTGAAGACGGATTCCAGGTGACTTGTCTGGGCGAATTCCAGGTCGAATGGGTTCTGCCCCTGGAGGGTCAGAAGAGAAGAGACGAGAACGGAGTGAGACCAGTGCATAAACAAGCCGGCAGCAACCCAGGGTGCCTGCACCACATATCCTATGTCTTCGCATCTCAGTCTGCTCCCCCAGGGCATCTCCACCCCAGCCTGTCTGCCTGCTAACAAGGTCCCTATGGAGATGGGGGTGGCTCCATTACCTGGGCCAGAACTGCAACCCCAGGGAGACCCACCCCAAGAGCTGGCTTTGCACCAGGAATTGCTGTAGCACCTCATTTCACACGCGCACGCGCACACGTTTTTACACCAGCCTAGAGGAAGTCTCAGAGTCTGCTAGAAATAGCCTTCCCCAAAGCTGCAGCCAACTTGGGGGCAGGGTTGGGATTCCCATAATACCCAATAAATAACCAGGACTGCAGTACAGAGGCAACCCCGCCGTGACCCAACAAGCAAGGGAGTCAGAGCGATTCTTGCTTTTTGAACCGAATATTGGCACTTGGAGGAGACCATCTCAGTGCTGCTGGTCTCCGAGCTGCCAGTCTCCACTCACGAACCAGAAGAGTCCGAGCAGGGAACCAGCTCCAAAGTGGCTTTGTCGTCCTGTTCCTCCCGCCTCGGCTCCAATGCCAACGCCCAGGCAAGATGAAAGCAAGACCTCCCCTACACCCTGCCCATACGGGTCTCTGGCTCGGGGAGCAGAACAGCTCCGAGGAGCCAGGAAGCCAGATCGCTGGAAGCAAGAAAAGGGTGGGTTTGCCAGACTGGAGCCGTGTCTCAGCAAGTCAGCAGTGCTGACCCAAGGCCAGCAATGAGAAGAAGGTGCAGGGTTGCTTGGAGCATGCCAAAGACAAGACATACCTCCTCCCCCAGCCCAAATGCCCTCCACTGTGAGTTCCACCTAGGCCACAATGGGAAGGAAGCCAGAGCCAGCTTTCCAGCCCCCCTGGAGAGCCTCACTCTTGGCATTCAGCCTGGGAACCCTTGAGCAGACCGCATTCTACCCATTTCACAGGCAACAAACTGAGGCACGGGCTCCTCAGCTCAGTCTCCTCAAGGTCAGAGAAGCAAAACCAAGGCCTGGGCATCCTGCCTCACAACTGCCCAGTTCCCCAGCCCACATCTGTGCAAGCACTTCAGAAATGTCAGAATGCGCGGCTTCACTGCCCAGCCACTGCCTCGATACCAAGGACACTTAGCAAAAATAGAGCATGAACCAGACCGCGCATGACCTCAGGGCCCCAAATCAGCTGGTGTCCCTCTAGCTGGAGCCAGAGCTGCTGCTGGTTGAGTGTTCATGTACAAGGGAACTGCAGGGCCAAGAGGGACAGGTGACTGCTCAGGTATAACTAAGCTCCTATAAGCTTAAAGCCGCCTTGCTGTAAGGGTTAGAGCAACAGGCCCAGCCACTCGCACCATCCTCTCCTGTGCACTCCTAAGCCCCGTTTGCTCCCTCGCTCAGGGTTCCCAGTTCAGGCCTCCTCCCAGATATCACCTGGCTGGCTCAGCAAAGCAGCAGAGTCTGAACCCAGACGCTCGCTCACCCCCGGGATCCACAGGGACTTGGGAGGGAACTAAGCTGAGCTGAGCATCATCCAGGGGGCCTGGAAAGGGGCAGAAGAAGAGTCAGGGACTGCTCAGCACCGTTTGCAAACTCATCTCAGGGATGGTCGCAGTTTAGTCCTGCCACCCCAGGACCGGACAGAGTCCTTTATGCACAGCTTTGGCTGGAAGGGCTCTCCGATTCACAGGCGGGTGACCGGAGCCGAGGGCAGCAGACCTGCAGCCCAGGCCAGGGCCTACAGCGGACCTGCAGTAGAAGGCGTAGCCCAACCTCGCCAAATGACCCCTGAGCTGTCAAGTTGCCAGCAGGGCCAGAGGATGGAAGCCAGCCTGGATCACATTTCCAAAGCCCTGGAAGTCAACTGCAGCCCGGGCCAGAAAGCAACAGCATTTGCTCCAGTCCAAACCGGGAAGAGAAGAGTTACAAACTCGCCTCCTTGGAAGGCGGCTCGAGTCTGGGATCAACAAAGGAGGGCTAGCGCTCAGTAATAAACTGTAAGACGAGTTGGAGAAAAGCAGGAAGCTTGCACAGTGCTGCCTCGCCCGGGCTCTCCCAGCCTTGGGTCACCGCACTGGCCTGAACCACTAGGGAAGCCACTTGCCTCGAATGAAGGGAAAACAGGCGTTCAGGTGTGATAGGTATGAAGCCAAGAGTCAGGATGCCAAGGTCCTGGTCTCTTCCCTGCCTCCAGCTCTAACTTTACCCCTCCCTGCCTCTGCTTCTTTACCCCTCCCTCATCTGCTGGCAGGGAAAGCACAGAGCTACAGAGCCACCGGCCAGCTCTCCCCGCGGCTTCAAGAGAGCGACGGCAAGCCTTCCCGGCGTTGTGAAATCTGCCTGGGTGGAGGTGAAAGTCTCCCTCCACTTCTTTTTTTTAAAAAAGAAAAAAGACATGCCCCGCTGCCATGCTGGCGAGGAAGCCAGAGCCCTTGGACCGTATGGGATCTCAGGGAGCAGCTCCCCCACAGCCAATCAGCAGGGCCTGGCACGAGCCTTGCTAACAGCTAGAAATCGCATGTTTACTTTCCATGCAAGTTGGACACTGGCCACGTTGGGCTGGGCGGCCCGAAAGAGGGAAGCGCGGAGCCCCTGGAAGCCAGCCTGCACTGCAGACAGGAGCCGGCCGGATCCAGGAGTTTGTTTCTTGCAAGAGCTCGGGGAGTAAGCACCGCAGGCAGCTCGCAATACAAGGGTGCGTCGCCCCGTAGTGGCATCGGGGCAGCGTGGGCTGCCTGGCAGCTATTTAGAGGCTTGCACCAGCCCAAAGGCAGTGCTGAAA